TTTAATTTTTTTATTAGTTCCTCTGTTAGGAAGGAGTACTTTCTTCGTTTTGCCAAGGTTTGTTGTGTAACCTCTTTTATGATTGTCACTTTCTGATCTTTGTAGTATATAGATTTTTTGGCGCTTTCTTTTAGAATCTCATCTCTTGTACTTTTCCTGCAAAAACTTACTACCACATCTCTGGCAGTTTTGTGTTTCTTCGCGTATCCCGTTGGGACTTTGTATGCTCTGTCCACGTCTTAACCAATGATTTCAGTTCCTACGTCTAAAAGTTCTGCTAGGAGGTTTATTAGTATTTGCTTGACGTTTTCATTTTTAAATTCTGCTAGATTTCTTATCCTTAATTGGTATTCTAATTCTCTGTTTTCTAATAGTTCCACCTGATATTGAGTCTTTTGTGATGCGTTTTCTATTTTATTGATCCGATTTTCCATTTTTCCTTGGGCTTGGGTTACTTTTTTGTTTTCTTTTTTAATTTTGTCTACGTCTTCTTGCACTTTAGTTACGTCTTCTTGCAACTTGGCTATGTCTCCTTTCAGGTCTATTTTCATTTTTTTAATTTCTTCTTGTAATTCTTTATGTTGTTTGTCCTGTTTTTCTGATAGTTTTGAAACCTCCGCCAGAATATCTTTGAATCCTATCTCTTTGGCCTCTTTTGCCTCTTTAATTTCTTTGGTTTCTTTTGTTGCCATCTCTTCTGTTAGAGAGTCTCTTTTTGGTTTGTAGTCTTGTTAGTTGTTGTGTTTTCCCTTTGGTGCCCTGCATCTTGTTATGTGGTTGCACTAAAATTACTAAGATAAAAATTCTAGCCAGGTTACATTTGGATCACTGTGCCATGGAGTTTATAATAAAGGGAGAGGATAGTTCATTCATATGGAGATTAAAAGAAAATTTATTAAGGAAAGACAAAGATATAGAAACAAACAGGAAATTACTAGTTGAATACCTAAAGATGAATAAAGGGGAAGAAACATCCAAAATAATACAATGGGACGCAATGAAGGCAGTAATGCGGGGCTATTTCATCCAACAAGATGCAATAAATAGAGCAAACAAAAACAAAGAAATGAAAAATATTTTAGAAAATATAGCCAAATCAGAGGACATGTTAAAAAAAAAAGCCAGGTAACCAAAAAATAATATTTAATTTAAAAACCCTAAGAAAACAATTTCAGCTAACGCAGACTGAAAATTTAGAAAAACAAATGAAATATATGAAAGTTAAATACTTTCAAAATGCAAATAAAACAGGTAAATGGCTTGCCAACAAATTGAAAGCTCGAAAACAAAAACAATTTATAACCAAAATCCAAATTAATTAAAAGATATACACGGAAAAAAATAATATTGAACAACACTTTGTAAATTTTTATAAAGAACTATACAAAAAAACAAATATCTCAGAGGAAAGAATCACGAAATATCTGGGCGACTCTAATCTTCAGAAACTAACAGATATGCAAAGGAAAGCACTAAATGGTCCAATAACCATGTCGGAGATTGATAACGCCATCAACAAACTAAAAAATAACAAAGCTCCCGGGCCGGACTGCTTTACAGCCATATTTTACAAAACATTTAAAGAGGAAGTAAGCCCCCTGCTAAAAGACATTCTAAATAATGTACTAGAAAATAAAATAATCCCCAAATCATGGGAAACAGCTAACATAACCCTAATCCATAAAGAAGGCTCGGACCCAATGGAGATTAAAAATTATCGGCCAATATCATTATTAAATAATGATTATAAAATTTTCACATTAATTTTGGCAGAAAGGTTAAAAGGATTCCTAAAAGAATGGGCCTCGGCGGATCAAGTAGGATTTTTGCCAAACAGGCAAATTAAAGATAATACAAGAGTATTGATAGATACAATCGAATATTATGAGAAGCACAATGAGAAGCAAATGGCACTATTATTTATCGACGCCGAAAAGGCGTTCGATAAAGTAAATTGGAATTACTTAAAATTGTTATTAAGAGAATTAGATATAGGGTATCATTTCAATAACGCTATTGAAGCCATATATACATCACAAAAGGCTAACTTAATTATAAATGGTCAAGAAGTACGGAAACCTATTCAAATTTCACAAGGGACCCGTCAAGGTTGCCTACTTTCACCGCTTCTTTTTATCTTAATAATAGATACTTTAATTAAAAATATAAATAGCGACTCAAATTTAAAAGGGATAAAAATTTTAAAACATCAATATAAAATCAGAATATATGCGGATGACGTTGTATGCATAATAGAGAACCCATCAAATAGCATCAGAATGTGGTTAAACGCAATAGAAAGATTCAGCAATTTGGCAGGTTTTAAATTAAACAAACAAAAAACCAAATTATTAGTCAAAAATATGGATGAAAAAGCAAGAAACTCCCTTCATGAAACATCAGGAATAAAAATTGAGAAAAAAATAAAATATCTAGGTGTAACTATCACTCCAAATAATTCCAAATTATTAAAAAATAATTACGAGGCCCTTTGGAAAAAGATACAAAAAGACTTAGAAAAGTGGAAACATCAAAACATCTCATTACTAGGAAGAATAGCTACAATAAAGATGAATGTACTCCCACAACTCTTATTTCTTTTTCAAACGTTACCAATCATTAGGAATGATTTTCTCTTTAAAAAATGGAATTCGGACATCACTAAATTTATATGGAAAAATGGGAAACCAAGGATAAGTATAAAAATTTTAACAGATGAGAAAAAACGGGGAGGCCTAGGACTCCCCAATCTTAAGGCATACTATGAAGCATGCAATCTAGTCGCGATAAAAGAGTGGGCAACTCTAAAAAATACAAAACTATTAGCTCTGGAAGGTCATGACCTGAGGGCGGGGTGGCATGGCTATTTGTGGTATAGCAAAAGAAAAACGGAGAAAAATTTCAATAATCATTTTATCAGGGCATCACTTATTAAAACATGGGAAAAGTATAAATCAAGATTTTACAATAGGACACCATTATGGATATCCCCAACGGAAGCAAAACATAAAAGGGAATTAGGAGAAGGCAATTGGCTAACTTATCATCAAATTTTAAACAAAAAAGACGACGGAAAATTAGCAATAAAATCAATAGAAGAAATAAAATACTTAGCAACCAAAACAACGTGGTTGCAATACTACCAAATTTTACAGGGATTCAAAGAGGACGAGAAAAATGGATTTAACCAGAACAAATGTATTTGGGATTTGGTATTAGACAAAAATAAAAAACTAATAAAAATTCTATATCAGCAGCTGCTATGCTGGTATACAGAAGAAGAGCAAGTGAAGGAATGTCAAATAAAATGGGCAAAAGACACAAAACATAGCATTTTGAGCAAACAATGGGAAGAAATTTGGAACATCAAATTAAAATATACAATTGCGAATGATTTACGTGAAAACTGGTATAAAATGTTTTACCGGTGGTATTATACACCAGACAAATTGGCGAAATTTAACAAAAATATTTCAAGCACTTGTTGGAAGTGTGGAAAGGAGAAAGGAACCTTCTTCCACACATGGTGGTCCTGTAAAAAAATTTAAAAATATAGGAATAAAATACACCAAGCAACCCAAAAAATATTAAAAATAAAATTTCACCAAACACCAGAAACATACCTATTAGGTATAACTCCACAGAAACTAAATAAAAACCAAGATAAAATCCTCTTTTTAGTAGGTACCGCAGCAAGAATGGTAATGGCAAAGTTATGGAAACAAAAAGAAACACCAAATTTAGAAGATTGGATCCTAAAATTATTCGACATCATTCAAATGGAGGGTCTATCCCAAAGAATAAAAGGAATAACCAAAAAGACTGATTGGTCAGGAGTAAAAGACTATGTTTTAAGAAGGGGAATTCCTCTATTTATTGACCTGTCCAACATTTGAAGAACATAAGCGACTGAAATAAAGCCGGAGAAAGGACTAGAGAACAACAACAACAAAGAATAAAAGAAGAAGACATTCCATCTCTTTTTTTTTCTTTTTCGGACACTCTCAGAAGACTTTGGGAAGTCGATCCACGGGGACGAAAGGACTGGGGGGGGGTGGGGGTGGGGGTAAGGGACAACCTGACCCCAAACATGGGTGAAGGGCGGGTTGTTTTTTTTTTCTCTCTCCTTCCTCTCTCTTCCCTTACCCCTTTTCCTCTCACTCCACCCCCACCCCGTTCTACCTCACTTATTTCCTTTTCATTTCCTTTTCATTGGTGTAAAGTATAAAACTAATAAAAATATATTAAAAAAAATGTGAACACTGGTGGAGTTTGGGGGAAATAGGCCTTGACATTTGGGAGTTATAGTTGCTGGGATTTATAGCTCACCTACAATCTTACAAACTTACAATCAAAGAGCATTAGCCCAAACTTCCCACACAGAACCCCCATGAACAATAGAAAATACTGTGTTTTCTGATGGTCTTTGGTGACCCCTCTGATACTCCCTTGCGACCCCCCCCCCCCAAAGGTACCGACCCCCAGGTTGAGAAATGCTGGAGTAGAGGGGGGGATAGAGAAGGAGGGAAGGGGGAGAGAGAAAAGTAGGAAGCCCTTGCCAACAGCTGAGCGAAAAGGCGTGAGTTCCTTTCAGAGGGAAGGGAACTGTAAGCTAGCTGGAGAAGGAAGGAAGAAAGAAAGAACAAGGGAGAGAGAGAAAGGAGAGAGGAGCGTGGGGAGGGGCATCCCTTGGCTTGCCAAACCCACCCAGAGCCCAGCCTTTCGGCGTCGGAGTCTCCGCCCCGAAGCGCCTGTGAGGAGCTCTGAGTTGGGGAGGGAAAGAGAGAGGGAAAGAGGGAGGGAAAGAAGGAGGAGAGGAGAGGAGGAGGGCGGCGAGGCCTGGGTGAGCTCAGTCCGGAGCAACTGGCCGAACAACTTCGCAGGAGGAGGAGGAGGCGGAGGAGGAGGGCTGGCTGTGCCTGGCAAGGAGACCCGAAGTGGAGAGGGGCTGCTCCTGGGACCCCTTTCCCCGCCACACGGCTTCCCCCCGGCCTCTTTCTCTCCTTTCTTTCCCTTCTCCGACTGGATTACAAAAAGAGCCAGCAGCAAGGGATTCCTGCCGGGAGTTAATTCGGAGTGGATTGGTTCTCTCTCTCTCGCTGGCTCTTGCTCCAAAACGCGGCTTCAGCTGGGAGTCAAGAAAGGTAAATAATCTGCCTAATTTCGCTCACCTTGAAACGCGTCTCCTGTGCTTTGATTCGGGAGTGGGGGGGGGGGGGGGGCATATCCAAGCCCCAAACAGAGCTTCGGCTTGGAGCCAGAGTCACCTGCTCCTTGGCAGAAATGGGATTTTGGACTTTGGTGGAAATCCATTCAAGGAGAATGGGGGTTCGAGTCTACTCTTGCCTTTGAGTAGCTGTTGAGTTTGGACCTTTTCTCCAAACTCATTAGAGTGCCCCTGAGCACGAGCAGAGTGCCTTTCTCCACCAATAACAGGCTTCAGGAAGGGTTCAAAGTGCTTTTGGCTACACATTGGCACAATATAAGAGTAATAGCCTCTGACCATGGGCAGAGTGCCTTTCTCCACCACATTATGAATGTTTCCCAGCACCTTTATCAGGATGATTAATATGTTACTTGCCTCTGACCATGGGCAGAGTGCTTTTCTCCACCAAGGTATGGCATTATGAATGTTTCCAAGTACCTTTATCAGAATGATTTATATGTTACTTGCCTCTGACCATGGGCAGAGTGCCTTTCTCCACCAAGGTATGGCATTATGAAGGTTTCCCAGCACCTTTATGTGAACATTGCACCACCACTACCGCCATTTATGTATTACTTGCCTCTGACCATGGGCTGAATGGCATTCTCCACCAAGATTTGACCATGGGCAGAGTGACTTTCTCCACCAATGGCAGACATTATGAAGGTTTCACAGCATTTTTGTGTGGAAATTGGCATGATAATCATAATAATGATGATGATAGTAATAGTAATAATAATTTTTCTTTGTTACCTGCCTCATGGACAGAGTGCCTTTCTCCACTAGGATATGACAATATGAATGTTTCCCAGCACTTTTATGTGGACCATCATCATAATCATTTATGTGTTACTTGCCTCTGACCATGGGCAGAGTGCTTTTCCCCGCCAAAGTATGACATCATGACTGTTTCCTAGCCCCTTTATATGGACATTGCACCACCACCACCATCATTGATGTGTTACTTGCCTCTGACCATGGGCAGAGTGCCTTTCTCCAACAAGGTATAACGTTATGAATGTTTTCCAGCACCTTTATGTGGACATTGCACCACCACCACCACCATTGATGTGTTACTTGCCTCTGACCATGGGCAGAGTGCCTTTCTCCACCAATGGCAGACATTATGAAGGTTTCACAGCATTTTTGTGTGGAAATTGGCATGATAATCATAATGTTGATAGTAATAATGATAACAATAAAACTTTATTTACATACCGCTCTATCTCCCCTGGGGAAGGGGGACTCAAGGCGGTTTCCAAGCAACAACATCAAAATATACAGAGTCACAACATGAACAAAAAATAACAGTAACAGCAACATAAGCATAATAATTTTTTCTTTGTTACCTGCCTCTGACCATCCACCAAGGATGACATTATGAAAGTTTCCCAGCACCTTTATGTGGATGTTGCACCATCATCACGATTATTTATATTTATTTATTTATTATTTATTTCAAAGTTTTATATACCGAGCTTCTCACCTCATAAGAGGGACTCAGCCCGGTTTCCAACCATAAAAACACATACAATCGGTAAAACATCAAAGTACACATTACAATAAAACATTAAAAATCACATATATTTAAAACTACAGTGGTCAGTCGTCATACTAAACTCGAATATCAAATATACACCGTCTTCCATCCAGATCATTGTCTCATTCTTCGAAAGCCTGTCTCCATAACCACGACTTCACCTGTTTCCTGAATGTCAGGATTGTTGGGGCGGTTCTGACCTCTGGAGAGAGTTCCAGAGTCGTGGGGCCACCACCGAGAAGGCCCTGTCCCTCGTCCCCACCAGCCGCACTTGAGAGGCCGGTGGGACCGAGAGCAAGGCCCCTCCAGACGATCTTAGTAATCTTGATGGTTCGTAGGGGAGAATACGTTCGGAGAGGTAAACCGGGCCGGAGTTGTTTAGGGCTTTATATGTTTCCTGCCTCTGACCATGGGCAGAGTGACTTTCTCCACTAATGGCAGACATTATGAAGGTTTCACAGCATTTTTGTGTGGAAATTGGCCATGATAATCATAGTAATAATGGCAATATATTGTTTGCTACCTGACTCTGGGCAGAGTGCCTTTCTCCTCCAATGAGTGATATTATGAAGGTTTCATGTGATTTTGATGTGGAAGTTGCATAATAATGATCCATTTGTATTTGTTACCCACCTCTGACCATGGGCAGAGTGCCTTTCTTCACCAGAGGATGATATTATGAAGTTTTGAGAGAACTTTTCTACAGAAGTCAGCATAATAGTAATAATAATAGTGGTATTTTTTTGTGTTCGTTACTACTTCTGACCATGGGCAGAGTGCCTTTCTTCGCCACAGGTTGACATTATGAAGTTTTGAGAGAACTTTTCTGCAGAAGTCAACATAATCGTAAAAATAATAGTGGTACTTTTTTGTTTGTTACCCACCTCTGACCATGGGCAGAGTGCCATTCTCTGCCAATGGCCATCCAGAACTTTAAGGAAAGTGCTGGTTAAACCAATTAAGGAAACTGGCTTAATAAAAACATAAGGCTATTAAAACACATAAATTAAAAGACTTGGGGATCAGTGTGTCCCCTTGTCCTATTTGATCATTGAGACGAAATGATTTCTATATGCGTTTGGTGCAGTTTTCAGTTCATTCCTTGCTTCTTTTTACTAGATGGAAGGAAAAAGGGGTCTCTGAGTTTGCTGCCGGGAGATACAGCCAATGCATATTGATGTGGAGACATATGCCAGACAACGGTTGCATACTAATACGCTCATGAAATCCTTTCCTTGCAGGGTTTTGGTCCCGTTGGAAGTCTTGTTAGGTGTGCCACACAATTACTTTCTGCAGTTAGGAGAAAGGTTATAATCACTTTGGCACTGAGGATATTTTCTGATCTTGGGGTGCATCTACATTAGAAATTTCAGGCAGTTTGACACCACTTTAACCGCTTTGGTTCAGTTCAGTGGAATTGTATGCAGTTTTACATACAAAGAGCACTGGTGCCTCACCAGGCTACAACTCCATGTTTCCATAGCATTGAGCCATAGCAGTTCAGGTGGTATCAAACTGCATTAATTCAGCAGTGTAGATACATGCAAGATTTCCCCACCCTGTGAAGACTCAAACTTCCATCCATTGAATAATAATATCTTTTTTAATTTGGATTTTCTTTTGACTGTGAGAGGTATCCCTCGGCAGGAGGAATTGGAGACCCCCCCGGCACAGGCAAAGTTGCCTTTGGCTTCCCATTTTTCAGGGATGACGCCAGCTGTTCAGGGAGGCAGGTGGGTTGCGAGCGAGCGTTTGTGCTTCCTGCATGTGTGCCGGGAATGCGGAGTGGCTCTCAGTCCCAGCTGAACAAGTGCCTTTGAGTAGTCCAGCAAATGCTGACTTAACAAAGACAGCAGCCAACCATCCCTCAGCATAGTTTCTTTTTAGACAGCGACCACACACTTACATTTAAAAATTAATATTTGGAATAGAAAGGGAGGGAGAACGAGGCTGGACAGAGTTGTTGTAAGATTTATGAGTGAGACAATATAGCGGAAGCACTTGGAACACTTAGGAAGTACATAGTATACAATTGTGCATTATTGTTATTGCTAGTAGTACGTACCATTAGACCTCAGTTCAATTACTTGTTGTTTGACGTCAGATCTGCTTTGATTTATGCCAACTCCGATAATGGAAAACCTGGTTACACTATGTAACAAAATGTGAAACGAATTTGGTTTGAAAGTGTTAATTCCTATTTAGTTGTGCAGTACTTAATTTGAAAGTAGTTGTTGTGCTCCAGAAACTTTGTATTTGTGGCTCCCACAAACTATGTTGAATTGGTTGAGACTCTTTTATCAGATATTCATTCAAAAACTATAGCAAAACGTGCTGCAGGATGTCCAGCAAAAACAATTTTTTTGCAGTTTAATAAATCTTTTCTATGTTTTTATGAGAAAACTTAGAAAAATAACAAAATGAAGTTCAACAGGGACAAATGCAAGATACTCCACTTAGACAGAAAAAAAATGAAATGCAAAGATACAGAATGGGGGATGTGTGTGAAAAAGATCTTGGGAGTCCTTGTGGACAAGTCCACGAGGCAACAATGTCATGTGGTGGCTAAAAAGCCAATGGGATTTTGACCTGCATAAATAGTATAGTGTCTAGATCCCGGGAAGTCATGCTCCTCCTCTATTCTGCCTTGGTCAGACCACACCTGGAATACTGGTTCCAATTCTGGGCACCACAATTGAAGGGAGATGTTGACAAGCTAGAATGTATCCAGAAGATGGCCACTAAAAGGATCAAGAGTCTGGAAAACAAGCCCTATGAGGAGCGGCTTCAAGAGCTGGGCATGTTTAGCCTGAAGAAGAGAAGGATGAGAGGAGACATAATGAGGGCCATGTATCAAGATGTGAGAGGAAGTCATAGAAGGAAGGAGCAGGCTTGTTTTCTGCTGCCCTGGAGACTAGGATGCGGAGCAATGGCTTCAAACTAAATGAAAGGAGATTCCACTTAAACATTAGGAAGATCTTCCTAACAGTGGGAGTTGTTCAGCGGTGGAACTCTCTGCCCCAGAGTGTGGTGGAGGCTCCTTCTTTGGAGGCTTTTAAACAGAGGCTGGATGATCATCTGTCGGGGGTGCTTTGAGTGCAATTTTACTGCTTCTTGGCAGGGGGGTTGGACTGGATGGCCCATGAGGTCTCTTCCAACTCTGTGATTCTATGATTCTTCTGACATTTCTCCTGCATCTATGGCAGGCATCCTTAGAAGTTGCCATAGATGTGGGTGAAATGTCAGAGGAGAATCCTTCTGGAACATGGCCATACAGCCCAAAAAACTTACAGCAACCCAGTGATTCCGGCCGTGAAAGCCTTCGACAATACATTTTCACCCTTTGTTTGGTAAAATACATATGAAAATGACATTTATAACCCAGGAACTAAAATCGT